AACCAAAGGTTGAATTCGATAGCCCCCAAGAGCTGCTAAAAATCCCGGATGGCAAATTAAAGGCCCTCGTCGATGAATCCGGAGATAAAGATGTTCTGTATGCAATGTCAAGAGGAAAGGGTCGGTAAACAGTCTTTGACAGGCTCTGATCTCGATCTGTTCATTCGAAAGAAGTAGTACTTCAGCTTTTACGTCGCCAGATGTAGGCGTGGAAAGTAGACGATCGGGACGATAAACAATGCATTCAAAACTAAAACCAAAGTACTAATCGGATAGGAGCGACGGCGACAACACATGTGATATACTGGCATCAGGAGCCAGGTCATTAGATACTTACGGCAGGAGCCACGAAAGATCAACCCTAGTGTCTTCTGTAACCAGAGTTAGGTTCCAGTCCATTACGGGAAGGAATGTAGTCTCGTTGAGGAGGACCAGAGCGTGGAGGAGCACCAGATGGATGAGGTCCACCTGGCGCAGTACTAGGATAGTTGTTGCCATAAGCTGTTCCAACAGGATAAGAATGATCATAGGAGCGTGGAGGGCTTTCCGAGCGACGCCTAACAAGATCTTAGCGCAAGAAAACTCAACGTTAAGTAAAATCCTACTTGTATCTTCCAGGCGCAGATTGATCCAAAGGAACCCCACGATACTCATCATACCGAGCTGGAGGTGGGCTTGGGGGGCGACCCCGATAGTCAAAATCCCTGCGGACCTCCTTATAAAGCAGGCTCATTCGATAGCATAACTTCTCACCTGTTGGGAGGCATTCTTTCAAAATCTTCCCTGTACCGGGGTGGAGTCCTCGGCCGCCCACTCCCAGGAGGCATGTATCCAGGAGGGAATCTCTCACCACCAGTTCTTCTCTCGTAACGATCGTAGTAAGGAGGCGGTGGAGGAGGCAAAGGAGGGCCGCCGTAGCTGCGATAATTTGCGTCGGGAGGTGGAGGATAGCGACCTCTATAGTCTGCAGGGGGAGGTGGGTATCTCTCGCGCTCAGGCATAGGAGGTCCACGCCTATAATCATCGTACTCTCGCCCACGAACACCGGGAGGCGGCGCCGGATAGTCTCTGTAATCCCTGGGTGAGGGTGGCCGACGGTAGTCGCGACTTGATGGATAATCATAACGGGCTTCCCGAGGGCGACCCATTGCCACGTCTTCGCGCTGTGGCATATTTCTGTCGGACAGATTAGTGTAGTCGAAGTGAGCAAGGCAGATAATAAAAGTTCGTACGCGCGTCTGGGAGCTATTCTATCGGTACTAAGGTTAGGGCGAAGAAAAATGAGGATGACTTAAACTCACAAGCCGGTGTGGTTGGGACATTCCCTGTAGACAAGACAACAATTTGATGAGAGCGGGCCGGACCTGCAAGAGCAACCACAAACCTTGCCCAGTGGCCCATTTGTCCGCACTTGAAACAAGCGCCGGGGTCTCCGGTATACTTTGCGGTGCGACCGCCACCTCTCGACAACTCAACGCGAATCTTGTTTCCCATGAAATAGCCTTCATGGTATTTTGCTACACTTTCCTCCGCCGCCTCCCGTGTGTCGAATTCCTATACAACCGTGAGACATTGGCTGACCCCAATCAAGCAGAAGCCGCACAACAAAGCCATATCCGACTCTGAAATGGGCGATGAATAAGGAGAACCGTGAAGTAGTAAATCACCCACTTTAGTTCGATGTTTACAATATTGCCGATTTTGCCAAAGCAACTTTGAAGATCCTCTTGCTGAGTGTGTTCGGGTAGACCACCAATATAGACTTTATTCGGCTGGACAGCAGAAGGTAAACACCCAGTCGAGGATACACAAGGAAACGGCAAGAGAAGTTGCAATCAAGCCCGAGCCAGAGTAAGCCTCCGATAGTACGAAAGCAACAGTGGAAATCCGAAGCAACCAAGCTAAGAATAATTAATAGTAGTACTGGACGAAGCACTAGCTCGGCGTCGAATACCACGCGTGGTAATGAGCGAGGCGGTGTAAAATGTCGCAGAAGAGACATGAAGAGACAAGAAGAGACCTAAGCACCTTGACTTGCTTCTCACGGAAAGTAATTTCTTTGCCTTCAGTAGCGCTAACCGCACCTGCGCTGGATCCGCGAGGATAATCTGGGTTTTCGGGGCCTTGACCCAGAGCGCGGTCGTCGTCAGGAGGTAAGGACGCTCCATTCGGAGGTTCAACTCCGCCGCCTGGACCCATGTGTTGTTCATCTTGCGGGCCCCAGTTATCCTGCTGGTGCGAAGGTTGGTCGACGTCGTTGGTGGTAGGAGCCATGACGAGATGGATGTTAACACAGAGGAAATGGTGGCACAGTGGAATGTTCAAACAAACAATTGAGACAGGATCATTTTTTTAAGCTCCGCTTTTGGGGGTCCGTGCATTTCCAGGCATCAGGACAAATGATATTTAAAGACCTAAGCAAAGATGGGGCACTCCTAGAGACTGAACGAATACACTACATATGGTAATGATATAATGGTAGTACTGCATAGCAAAGTCTGTTCGCAAGCGGCTGCCCGGTAGGGGTATCATGGTGTCCATCGTCCAGTAAGAAATCGAGAAGTGAACGCAGAATACTTCGACGCTCAAGCCAGGGTCCACATAGCACTGACGATGCTGACAAGGGTCATCGCGATCATGCCTAGCAGTGCACTGCTGCTACTGTCCATGAGACTGACAGTGCCATTATTGTTATTGCCCTTGGGGGAAGCCGAGGTCGAGGGCCCAGTGCTTGAGCTATCCCCAGCACTTGCAGGGGCAGAAGGCACGAAAGTTGTGGCGGCATTGGAGAAACACGAGCTTGCAGCAGCATTGGCAGCAGATATGTTGGTAGGAGCAAGTGGATTGATGGTACCATTGCCAGCGAAGCTACACGCCTGTGGGTTACGATTACTGAGTTGATAAAAGTCGCTCATCGCGAAGGATAGCTTGATAGCTGTTCGGAATGTCAGTACAGTGTAGGAAATTGATTTGTTGGAGACCTACTTGGGTCACAGCCAGATAATCGACCATAGACTCCGGCTTGTCCATCACCGCCAATGTCTTCACAACTTCCGCCTTTTTGACCAACAAAGCTGCATGCAGTGTCCAAAAGTTCACCAACGATTGCAGAGTAGTTGCTAGTTGCTGGGTGAAATCTACAGCTAAGAGTACTTAAGAAGCAATCACATGCAGATTCGTTCGGGGTAGGTGGAAGAGTAGTTGACGCAACAAAAGAGCTGTTGGCGGTGGGACAGCTAGGAAAATTGCTTGTGGAACTTCCCTCTGATGGGGAATTCGGTCCTGAGGCTTCATTGTAATGTGTTTTCAGTCGATCAAAATCATCGCTGGTGGTTACAGTTGAACCATCCGAAGAGATGGTCACCATGCCGAATTGACCTTGGGCGCTACTTGCAGGGAAGTAAGAAAAGGCCACGCCACCAGACCAAACAGGGGACATTTGAGAGCTGAAGATAGAATCAACCTCAGTCCACAGGCGCGGGGGATCAAAGATACATCCGAATTCACTGAGATACGCAGCGACATTGTACCCAGCGAATTCACCGAATGTGTTAGCATATGCATCCTCAAAGGATGAGTTGCCACACCAGGAGCTGTGTTGCCTATGAGCACTCGTACGATAAGCCAGATACAAGAGACCATACTAATCATTGAGACCAAAAAGATCGATAGCAGTCGAGTCTGAGCCGGTGTTGGATGGATCGCATGAAAGGTAATTGGCGAGGGGATCGCGAAATTGCGAGGGTCCGTTAATAGCAGTGTAGCCGACGAGAACAGATGAGGATTTCGACTTCCTGAGAATCATTGAGTGTGAATTGTTGAGCTGTGGATAGGAGAAAGTGACGCACAGATACGCCTTGACATCACGAGCGGCTGCTTTGACAAACGGCGCGACAGCAGTTCCGTTTTGAACAACCACCTCATTGCCAACGTTGAATGCTAGAACGTTGTCGTACTTGCTAAATACATCGATGGTCCTGAGATATTGATCCATAAGACTTGTCGTCCACGAGGGACTGACTCGATCAATTGAACCATTTAGAGGAAGCGCAAGATCGATGCTGTCAAAAAACCATGAGCTAATATGGATTGACTAGTCGAACAAGTGGCAATCACATTGCATAAATTCCAGCATTGCTGAAAGTCGACATGCATGCATCATGATTGAGAGAAGAGTTCACGCTGTATACACGGATAGTATTCATACTAAGTTGCTGCAGGAACGGTAAATCACGGGAGCAGGAATCGGGCAAAGCCAATGGATCGATGAAAGTTGAAGGTTCCCCGAAACTGTTGTCGTCACTCTGGACGACAGCACCTGCGGTAACTCATCAACAATGAAAGCCGCTAGGAGTGAAATAATATGCTGACCTTGTTCCTGATATGCTATTCCTTTGATATAGAAACGACTGCCATCCTCGTTATAAAGGTATCTTCCAGAGCGGGTAACTCTAGGAATAGCCTGTGTAGAAGCAAGGAGAGAGGCAAACACTGCAGCAAAGGCAGCGTCTTTCAAATTAAAATGCATGTGTGGGATGGAATGTCGAAAATTAGGGAAACAATATTAGGGTATTGTGGAGGAAAGGAAAAGTCAGAAAACTGCGGCGGCCAAGACAGCCCGCGGACAAGGGTTTGTTGTGGGAGATTTGTCAATTCCCTACTCGAGGTTCCGGACCTCACGGAATTGGTGATCGGGAGGCTATTCCCGACTGGCACCATGGGTACTTGACCACCGTCTGTGTAAAGTCCGGTAGGGAGAAGTTCGGAGTAATTGCAAGCTGCGCGTCGATATAGACTATGTTCACCGTCAAAAGAACCGAAAGCAACTTCCCGAGAGAGAAGTCGCCGTAATGGAAGTGCTCAAGACTTGTTGCATACAGTGACGCACGCCTCCAGAAAGTTTATACTTCTGAGGGTTCTGTGCTTTTAAGTTTTACTTTTTATTCTTTCTCGTAAGACAGGGTGTGCTCTTATAAATACGTAGTAGTTTAAAACATACGGCCCGCCTAGCTCAATCGGATAGAGCGTCAGACTCTTAAGGAGTTGGTGTGGTCCTTTCTATTAGATATCTGAAGGCTGCGAGTTCGACCCTCGCGGTGGGCTAGGAAGATGATTGGATTGATCTTTTCTTTTTTTTTTCTTTTCGTCTTTCATGAAGGGTCTCATTGTTTTTTTTTTTTACTTGTTGGTTGTATCATTCGTTTTCGTATTCGATGTTTTCACGTATTCTAAAGATTTGTATGAGTATCCTAGGTATACATAATTGTCCTACGAAATGGTTAGATAGACGTTTAAATTTTGTCGTTAATGCCGATGGCCTGCACCGGCGACTTTACGCCAATCATCCTTTCCAAGTACAGCAACTAATAAAGGTTAATTGATTACCTATAACAAAGAAGAGCACATTCTACTTGCCTGATCATGTAGGGGATAATCGAAACCGCCAGACACACGAATGCTGCCCAGGACAAATACAAACCCGTCCCTAATGTAACGATGATTCCAATAGGAACTGCATCTGCCCGATCACCGATTAGAACGTCATTAACTCCGTCCGACTTCTTGATCATAATAGTCCAGATACTCGTTCCAATCAGGAGGAGGATGCTACCAGACACAGAGAAAATCGAGGAAAAAAAGAACGAGAGGTGATTCTTCAAGAAACCACTGACAGAAAGTGAGTTATGGGTGCTACTTTCAGAGTATGAAGAACCGACGTGAGTGCTGCCAATAATGCACAGACTGTACCTAACAGCAACATCCAATAAGCGGCCTTGGTAGCACTCCCGAGATAGGATGAGTCCATGAAAGTTGTGCCCTGTACGAGAGCCTGTGTGATTCTTGAGTAATTTGCTGCCATGTCGGAGATTATCACGTCATAAGGTCGATATTCCTCGCCAACGGTCATATTACTGCACGTTCCTTGGGAATCGTTCAAGTAAGCACAATATGAGTACAGGCCAAAGTCATAAAAGTATCGTAAGCCAGCTTGAATTCCGAGGGGAGCACTGGCATTAGTTGTATATATATTGCGGAATTCGTCGGTAAGGGAGAGTTCAAGGGCTGAGCTAACATAGAGAAGATCAGATGTATGGCAAGTAACGGTTGGCTTGTACTCACCTATACTGTGAGACGTTGACCCTGGCCTGAAGAAGATAAGCTAGGTTTACGATACACAGAGAAGTATGATGTACCATTGCGATGCTCCGAGGGACAGTGGAAGTGTTGATTTGACCAACCTTGAGTGAGAGTTCAGAGCTGTGTGAAGTGCAAGAAGATATAGGAAGGCGCACATGTACAAAGATCATCAGCAGCAATGCGACCAACCTGAAGGGATGTTATCAGTGTCGGCAAAAACTACAATCAACTCAGTTGAACATACGACAGTAGTGTGGCCGCAGAGACACATACTTCACCACGCATCTTTCCAGACGAGCAGGTGCTTAAGAGGGAAATCGAAGCAAACTGGTGCACGCAAAATGTCGACCAGCTGCGTTTTAAGAAGCTCAGGGCGCAGCGGAACCTGTTCGCGAACACGCGACGAGAACGTGGAGAACGTGTTGGAAACCAACCCACGATCGGCAACTGCCGGTCCCGATTAGGCTCTGCCGACTGAAGTGCCACTCCGAGTCTTCCTTCGTGTTCAGCTGGGAGTTGCTCAGTAATGAGCAATCCCACAAACCAACGGACTCTTTCTCACACATCTGCTGGCGTTCCGGCCGTCGACACTTCCCCAGAAGCTTTGGAGCTCGAGCTGGAGCCTCAGTCGCCTCCCAAGGAAGTCACATCCACACCAGGTCGCGTCAAGCGACTTTCTGCAGTAGTTGAGAGGTCGGTCGACAAGCTCAGTCGTGGATTTACTGCAATCAGCGGGCGCACGAGTCCTACCACCCCTCCACCAGCGGGCCGTAGCCGCCTGTTCAGCCTTAGTCGGAAGGGAAAGACCAAAGAGAACTCTGGAGATGCCGAGGGTGCGCAGGTGTCTGTCTGCCGCAATGCTGACTGACTTGCAACCAGATTCATTATCTGCAGTTTTGAATTTGACCCAGAGTGCCTCAAGTTCCACCCTGCCAAGACCGGCTACCACATCGACCTCTGGCGTCGCACCTCGCGAAGGGCTTCCTTTGCTTCCTGCCCCAATACCGGTTAAACCATCCTTGCAGAGCAGGACCTTTAACGATGAATCTCCTTTCATCACGCCTCCCTCTCCACCGCCCACAAGACCGCCATTGAGTCCTTTCCGCGGAGATGGATCGGTAGGTAATCTATACACATCGATAGCTGTTGATTTACAGGATTCTCTTGACTGTAGATGCGAGCAGGAACACAGACTCTGATTCAGGCGCTTCAAGCTCTTCCATGGGCAGAAGTCGAGAATGATGAAGATATAGTGGGGACCGATGCGAACTCAAGCGACGAAGAGGAGGGACCAGGACAACGTACGTAGCTGTTCTCATTGAACTTGAGCGGCTTTGACACCTCCCTTGTGTTCTAGTACGTCTAGCTTCGTCAATTCACACCATTCACCGTCCGCTAGCACGGTCCAAGAAATTGAGTTTACCTTATCCCACGCAGGAACATATTCTGGGTCTTTCCCATGATCTCGTAGGTGAAGTGACTGAAGAGCCAGAGACTTTGATTTTGGAAGGGGAACAAGAAGTTGAAGACTTTGAAGAGACTCCACGTCCCCCGAGTTCCCCTTTTCCCAGCCCTTCCCCTCTGACGGGATTCATACTTCCCTCAGATAATCAGACGAATCGAACAGGCTCACGGCCTCATTCGAGAATGATACCGTCCCGTGCTGGTAGTCTGGGTACTATCCGACTTCAGCGCAGAACAGGTCTGGCGCAAAAGCTCAAAGAAGTATTTGAACTAGATGCAATCGAGGAAGTTCGAGCAGGTTTATTTATTTGATAATCTTGGTATGATCAGTCCTCACGGGTCTTTAGAAATGCCTTGCTGGCTGCTCAGGTCCATATGTTGGTAACCACTTGTTAAGTATCAACTGTCAGGCTAATCTCGCACCAGTATTACAAGGCTACATGTACCTAACGAACTCGTATCTCTGTTTCTTCGCACATATGCCTTCGCGAGAGGTTTCGTTGTCTCTCAAGAATCAGGTTCTATATAATTGAAAGTCTCAACAGGATCAAGTCCTCAAATCTGGGTCACTCAATAAGAAAGCGCAAAGGACCAAGCGTTGGATAAAACATTGGTTTGTTCTGAAGAATGATGCTCTCTCATGGTATCAGTCCTCTTCCGTAAGGCATGATTTCTGCATCATAGCAATAATCCAATAACGGTGTTACATCCATAGGATCCCTACTTTCCTCACGGTATAGTTGATCTGCGGTACGCCATCTCTTGCGAAGCCGAGGGCGAGAGAGGGTTTCGGATTCGTACAAATCAGAAGACAGTGATATTGTCTGCAGATTCAGTACCCAGCCGCGAAGAATGGGTAAAAGCCATTCGTAAGGTCATTTTCAAAGCTCAGAACATGGGCGACTGCGTCAAGGTCTCTTGTTTCAATGATTCTTTCTATCCGTTTAATAATTTTGTGAATCTTCTCGTTAGATTGCCATCCCTTACTCCTTGATCATTGACGTTGATAAATCTAGTGCAATGGACTTTAGCGAAACCATTGAGGTCAAGGTGTTTGACAGGAATGAAGACTCATCTCTTGATTCCTACTTTTTTGCCTATTTCCATGACATACCCGAAGCCCTCGAACATATACGAGACGCCGTCCGAGATGATCGAAATCAACCTAACCGGTTATCTTCTCCGCTCACTGTTCTTGATACAACGCAATTGCGGCCTTCCGTCATCCCTGATCGAACTGCAAGTCTGCCTGCGGACAGCAGCATTACGAAGTCGAATTCCGTCTTCCGCCTATCATCGTTACTACGACCTTTCCAAGATACTTTTCGAAATACCGTATCCGAAGGGGCACCCGAAACAGAAGATTTTACTCATGTCTCACGGCGCCCAAATTCATCATCCTTTGTTCCAATTACTATCTCGCCCAAACCTCCGGAAGGTCTCACAGAGGCACGTCCTGACCAAACAAGCAAACCATTGCCTACTTCGGCGAATGAACACACGTACCCACCCTCTACTTCCAATTCACGCATTGATCCTGATCATCCTTCATTGAGCAGAGAGAGCAGTTCTTGGGTCGGTGTTCCGTCTTGGTTCAAGAGCCCACGGCGCGTGTTTGGTGGTTCATTGTCAAGCGACCAAACAATCACTACGTCCGCCGGTGTCAAAGAAATGTATTCGTCAGCAACGGTCTCGCCGTCATACCCAACTAGCCGTTCAATCATGGGTGACTTGGCGTTCAGCATTCTGGAGACGCCCGAGATCCCGGTGGACGCCGAAACTACTGAGAAATTCCGCACGGCATTTGCATATGATGAGAAGGAGACTTTACTTGGATGTAAGTGCGTTTCTTGAGATTGATGTCGTCACTCAAATGATCAATGTTCTCCAGATTTCCCTGGATATCTATACAGACTCCTGCCGGTTTTCGGGAGACTCTACATTTCTACCAACTTTTTCTGTTTCAAGTCTAGCGGACCTTTGACCTTTCGAACGAGGGTTGGATATTTTACACAGACTAATGAACGTCTTACTAACCAATGTTATGTAGATGGCGTTGCCAATTCGCGATATTTTAGCCACCGAGAAGTCCAAGGCTACCCGTTTCGGTCATCATGGTCTCATTATAATCATCAAAGGCCATGAAGAACTCTTCTTTGAATTCAATGCTGAAGAAAAGCGTGATGCCTTCATTAGGTTGTTAGATCGTCAAGTTGAAGACGTTCGGAAACGATTGGCACAGGGCGAAACCAACCCAACTTCTCCAGGAAAACGACAGGCGCTAATCTTGGAAGAGTTGGATGCTACTGCAAGTGAAACCGATCCGGCTCCGACTTCTGCTTCCGATACGTTAGCCGATTCTCTGCCTGCCGTCATGTTTACTTCAGCTTCGTCGACTTTCTTGACATTCAAGCCAACCAATTCATTGCATTTCACATTTCTTACAATTGGGTCTCGTGGCGATGTTCAGCCATATATTGCTCTTGCAAAAGGTCTGATGG